GTGCTTCCATGACAGAGTCCTTTTTTCTTTCTATTTGACAATTCTATTGCTTGGACTCTAAGATTTCCGAGGTGAGGCACAATCTTGGGCCCTTGTTTTATGGAAAAAAAATAAATTGTATATAGTTGTTGGACTCAGGAAAAAGATTACAGCTTCATTTGGTGGTTAAATTTGTACTGAATTACCCTTTGGGGCATGTGCATTTTCAATGGTACATTTGTACTGGAAGGGAGGAGGTAGTCTGGCAAGTCTAACAGAACAGCTTGAAGCAAACCCAATCTTGGTATGAAATTTGGCAAAAAGAGCCTTTCCAGACATCTGTGAGCCAATGATGTACTGCAAGTTCCTAGAAAACTCCAGGGAATACACAATTCTGAAAATCAAGACTATTATCCACATATTTCATTATTATTCATCCTATTAGCATCATATGTGCTTAGAACTGGTTGGCTCATTCGAGGATGGATCACGTGCACAATGTGACTCAGGTGGCATCCTGATTGAAGGCTACCAAATCGCCGGCTTCTGAATTGATTCTTCCCCTAGTGAAGAATCTGCCTGTAATGTTTCCCTTAAGTTAAATAAAGCTCATTATTAAGGACTCATTATCTGGGTAAAGTGAGATTCTTTGCTTAACAACGAATATTGTATTCAGGGAAGAAAAAGCTGTAGAGTTTCAAAACTTGGTTATCCATGATTAAAAATAAAAATCTTATGTATTCGATGATAGTGACTTCCACCTTTAATTGTCTAGTACATGCCATTCTTCTTAGTTGTAGGCTTTTCTGTAATACTCTTGGCTTTATTTTTTCACCTGGATATCTTCCAGGCATCTCAGTGACAAGGAGCTGAAAGATAATGCCTTTACTTCCATCATTTCCGGAAGATCACATGTGGAGATACACACTTCCCTGTATTTGCCTCAATTCAGTTAAAGTTACCACAATCTACCTACTATTAAAGAGAGAAATGGTGAAATGCTTGACTGTGAGTAGTTTCTCATCTCCTTTACTCTAAACTCATGCAGAACCTATTACTGTCTGTCTACTCTCCTGAACTTAAGTAGATCTGACCAGCATCACTTACTGAAATTAGTATCGGGGCTCATCTCTGTGTTTTCTTTCTCCATGTCTCCTTCATGAGTAAATTTACTTTCTATATGGACATTATTGTAAACTTCCAGAAACAAAACTGAGAAATGCCATATTCCTTTTTATAAACTTCCAAGTTTCACATCTTTAAACACAAGTCTATTATGACTAAAAGTCTCTGTTTCTTGTCTTTCTTTTCTGTCTGTTTAATATCACGTTAGGGCCCTCTCACCCCTTACTCACATAGGATGATGATCTGAAAATTCCTGGATCATGAGAAATCTAGAATGGAAAAGAATGTGTGAATGCTCTCTCCTTCTAGTACCTGTGAATGGCTCTTTTTCAATCTTAAGATCTTAGGTCAAACAACCTTTGCTTCTCTTAGCCATCTTTTTTAACCACTCTAAGTTGTCTACATCCACTAAACTTGTTCTTAGCTTTCTCTTTATATACTTCATAAAATTGATCACAATCTTAAACATCACTTGGTCTACTTGTCACAAAATGGCCCATGCTAATTCATATATTTCATGAAGTTAAGAAACAAATGTCTGTTACTTTACACTATTTTCCCAGTGCCTAAGACTCTGACATCTGAATTCTAGGAGCGATTCAATAAATAACAACTGTGTAGTTATCCATAAAAGAATATATATATATATACATACATATGTGCATACATAATTACATACATTGGGGAAAGACAAACCAAAACAGAGGAAGTAACTCTTTACAATAGAAAATCAAAGAAGGATATATGAGACTTTAAATGAAAAATTATATAATCTATCTACTAACTGGTTAAAAATTATATAAGATAGGGCTGGGAAGGTGGCTCAGTGGTAGAAAGCTTGCCTTTCATGAGGCCCTGGGTTTGATTCCTCAGCACCACATAAGCAAAAAGAAAAAAGCCAGAAGTGGCGCTGTGGCTCAAGTGGTAGAGCACTAGCCTTGAGCTGAAGAGCTGAGGGACAGAGCCCAGGCCCAGAGTTCAGGCCCCAAAACTGGACCCCCCAAAAAATTATACAAGATATTTCTACTTCCCACAACATTTGAAGAAGAAAACATTTCATTATCTCAACATATGAAGAAAGAGCATTTATAAAATGCAATGCTTGAAACTGTAGAGCTTCTTCATGGCAAAGGACATAACAAGCAAGATCAATAGAAAGTCCACGGATTAGGATAAGATTTTCACTAGTTATACAACAAACAATATCTTGTCTAAAATATACTTAGAACTCAAAAAATTAAATCCCCTAACAAATCCACAAAGAAACAACCACCCAATTAATACGTGGGCTAAAAAGACTTAAAGAGAGACTTCTCTGAAGAGGAAATAAGAATGGCCAATAGACACATGAAGAAATGCTCAACTTCTCTAGACATAAAAGAAATGCAAATTAAAACCACATTGAGATACCACTTCAATCTAGTTAGAATGGCTAGAACGAAGAAATCTAATAACAACAGATGCTGGAGGGAATGTGGCCAAAAGGGAACCCTATTGCATTGTTGGTGGGAATGTAAACTTGTTCAACCACTTTGGAAAGCAGTATAGAAGTTCCTCAAAAGACTTCACATAGAGGTCCCCTATGACCCAGCAATCCCACTTTTAGGCATTTACCCAAATGATCACCGTAAAAATAAAAAAGCCATACTAAACCTACCAGCACAACTATGTTTATCTCAGCATTTTTTTTTTTTACCATAGCTAAGATATGGAACCAACCCAGATGCCCCTCAGTAGATGAATGGATCAAGAAAATGTGATATATATATAGATATATATATATATAGATATATATATATCTATATATATATAGAATTCTATGCCTCCATCAGAAAGACACAGCCCCATTTGTTAGGAAATGGAAAGACTTGGGAAAAATTATATTAAGTGAAGTAAGCCAGATCCAAAGAAACCTAAGTCCCATGGTTTCCCTTATCTGCAAAAATTAGTATGTTTAGGACAAGCAGAAAAAGTCAAAAGCTATGTACATATAATCTGATGCTAAGCAAAATGAACCCCAAATAGGGACACAAGAGGTTTTTAATCTTTGTTGCTGTTCTTTTTAATGTACTTATAATGTACTATGTGATTTTTTTTTGTTTCTTTGTATGTTCTTCCCCCATGGTACAACCCCTGTTGTCACTGTGTTTGATTCTGGTGTCCTGCATCTTGTATATTCATTTTTCTAATTTGGGGAGGGGATGGGAAATAACAAAATGCTGAAATAAGGATTCAGGATGACCCATTGTAATGAGATGTACAAGACACTATGTTGAAAACAAAGCTGACAACTTTGACAGTGGTGGGGAGGGAGGAGTTGGGTTGGTGGGGAGGAAAGGGATGGTAGGGGCAAAACAAAGGAGGGGTAACAATGCTCGATAGGAAATGGACTCATTTCCTTACTCATGTAACTGTTACCCCTCTGTACAGTATCTTTACAATAAAGATATATATTTTAAAAATGCAATGCTCATTTATGGTAAAGACTTGGCAAGGTAGGAATAGAAGGCAATGTTCTTACTCTGATAAAGACTGTCTCAAATGTTTTCAGCAAACATAATCTTTAATGATAAAATGTTAGAAATATTTCACGTGCACATGTGTCTGTGTGTGTGTATACATGTGGGCTCATGCGTGGGTGTGCCCATTCTGGAGCTTGAGCTTGGCTTTAGCTAAGAGTCAATCATTTGAGCCACAGCTCATGGACTTTTCTGCCCAGACTGGCTTTGAACCTTAATCCTTAGATATCAGCCTTCTGATAGCTAGGATTATAAACATGAGCCATTGGCACCAGGTTTGAAACTTTGTTTTTAAACACCCTAAAAGCAAAATTTCCCACCATTACTGTCCCAGTGATTGTTAAAAAGCTATTTAAAAATAACAGTATTAAACTTTTAAAATTCATGAATGTGAATATTTACTCTTTAAGTGAAGAGTTCCCTTTTAAATTATTAGAATTTGTAGGCTTAGGAAGCTACCTGTTTATTAGACTAAATCAGAAAAGATAAATTGCTGTTATTTATTTTATGACACAATCTTGCTAAATTACCACAAGGTTGGCCTTAATTTCTAACTGATGTGCCTCCTGTCTGTCTATGCTTATTCACACTAGTTCTGGGATTACCTACATGCATCACAATGCCAAATTCATTTTATGGATATCTATAAAATGAATTATATATAGTTACCTAGAATTTATTCAAATGCAATTTGGCTTATAAAAAGCCATTTTCTCATTTAAAAAATCTGAAAGCTCATAATTTTTTGTATAAAAGTGTGTGTATATAACCATTTTTATTAAACAAGGAACTTAGATAAAGGAAATAATTTGATGAGTTCTGCAGAAGGGAAATGGAAGCCTATTGCCTTTAGATTAAATTACCCAGCCTCTCCTTACCCTACAAATGATTAAGATTTGAAATATTAATACTTGCCATGATTATAAAAGTTGCATAAGAATTTATCACATGGTAAAAGTCATGAATAGATATATGGGGCAAAATTGTGTTTTGACGTTTCTCAACACAAATCTTTCTCCCAAATTTAACCCAAAATTATTTTGGAAATGTTTACAGATTATTTTAGAAGCATAAATTCCTTTACAAGTTAGATATTTAATATGTTAGAATTCTCAAAGGAAAAAAAAATCCACATTCCTTTAGTATAATAGATTTTTTTGTGTATAGTGGAGTTTGACCACAATATATTTTCATTTATTCATTTTAACAATTGTATTGTAAAGGTGATGTACATAGGGGGTTACAATTATGTAAGTCAGGTGATGAGTACATTTCTTTTGCACAGTGTCACCCCCTGCCTCATTTTCTCCCAGTTTGTTCCCCTCTCAACCCTCCTCCCCCAAGTTCTACAGTTCATTTCCAACAAAGTGTCTAGTGAAAAATATGGAACATTTCACATATTTGTGTGGCCCCTTGCACAGGGGCCATGCTAGGGGCCATGCTAATCTCCACTCCAATTTTAGTATATGTGCTGCCAAAGCAAGCACTGTTTTTATTTATTATTATCTCATATTTCATTTTGCTTACCTTGTGTTAAATACCGTAAGTGTGTTATCGATTAGGGATAGCAATGCACATTTCCCTCACAGCTGTTCATTCAGTGTGTTCTATAGAGAAACATATTCCCAAGGTCCATATGTAAAAGATTTGGTTGCCAGCCCTTCTTTTTACTGGGACGCAGCAGAACTTTAAATACTTTAGAACCCAGTAGCAGGTACTCCTGGCATTAGGGGTATGTCCTGGAAGGAAATGGGGAGAGTTCAGTTCCTTCCTTGCTCTCTTTTCCTTTCTATGATCGTGAAGTGAGTAAATTATTAAGTCACTTCGTGGTAATCTAATATCCCACATGCTTTCTTCCATGATACACTGTCTCATTACAGACCAAAACAAAACAAAACAAAACAAAAACAAAACCAAAGAGGCCAGTTGATCATGAATTAAAACCATGAAAATTATGAGCCAAAAATCAACCTTACTGTCTCATAAATGTATTTTCTCAAGTATTTGTCATAGGAAAACTGACAGTAAAATTGTCATGTGTGAAATCCTGGATATATAGCAATCACCCTTAATTGGTAGCATAAAAACTAGACTCCATTACTGCTTCCTCATAAAAGATCAGATTATTGAAAATGTGGTAGCTAATATTATGAAGAGTAAGAATGAAAAAATATATGATAATTAAAGTTATATAATATATATAATAAAAAAGTTACTTCTTCTTTAAAGATGTGGTCAACAAATAGTTCCTAGAAGCCAGAAGTCTGAGCTGAAATTAAAGGGTTGGCTGAGCTATGTAAGCAAAGGAACATATTAATTATGAGAGAAGACCATTGTTCTGTGGGTGTGAAAAGAGGTGGAAAGGATGATGGCATGCAGAGAAAATAATGAAGAGGATTATTTTTTTACTTAATTCATCTAAGAGGATATGAATCCACTGAAAGAATATTTTAAGTTGTATCATCCCTAGAGATTTTAGAGGAAGCATGGCCTGGTCAAAATCTTGCATTTATTCTTGTAGCCAATTAAACTGTAAATTTCTGTTGTTTCAAGCTGGCTAATTTGTGTGTGTGTGTGGGGAGGGGGGAGGTTTGTCAGTTTTAGGGCTTGAACTCTAGGCCTATGCACTGTCCCTGAGCTCTTCTCCTAAAGGCAATCGTTTTACCACTTGAGCCACAGCACCATGTTCTATTTTCTGGTGGTTAATTGGAGAGAAGAGTTTCACAGACTTTCCTGCCCTGCCTGGCTTTGAACCATGATCCTCAGATCTCAGCCTCTTGAGTAGTTAGCATTACAGGTGTAAGCCATGGGCTCCTGACTTATGGAATTTTTAAGTGGGAGCCCTAGAAGTGGAATGCAGAAGCTATCCTGGTGTTATGAGCTGAAGCTTGTTTATCTCTTTGGCCAATGTGTGTGTAGAGAATCTCATCTCCAATACCACAGGAATTGGCTTATTTGGAGATAGCCCTTTTAAGGAGGCAATTGAGAAAAAGTGAGCCTGTAAGTGTGGGACCTAATCTAATCTGAGGGATTTTTTTTTAAAATATTGCCAAAATATAAACATCAGGAAAATGTATAAGAAAGGAAGACCAGGTGAGCATAGAGAAAGGCTGCAGGCATCTGCAACCCAAGGAGAGACACATGAAATATGTGCTAACACCTTGGTCTGGAAACTTCCATCCTCCAGAGCTCTGAACAAATACATCCCCATTGTTAAAGCCACCACTCTATGGTATTTTGTTATGAAAGTCCTAAAAAAGTAATATAATCATACTAATAATAAATGGAAAAATATTTAAATAAGATGTTGGGTAGAGAGAAGTGTGACTCAGTAAAGGACTAGAACTAATACAAGCTGGTGAGGCATTCTAAATTGAGAATTAGAGTGAGGGAATTAACCCTAATTTGGACTGTTGGGGAAAGGGTAGAGATTTTCATTGAGGGAAGAAAGGAGGAGAGCTATAAGGAGAAAACAGGACAGTGTAGACCTTGCTCTTAGGTATTACGGGTCATCTGCTGCTGCTACTAGACATCAGGGGCCCTTATGGACCATTATAGTTCTGAAAAGAGGTTGTTCAAATGTGCCTGGTCTACATTGTATTTAGAAACAAATTTGGTTTCTTTCTAACCTACAAAAAAAATGAGCTAAAGCTCAGTGTCCTACACTACTATCACTTGAAAACTTTGGAAGTTGGTGTAATGAACCTTCATACCAGGCATGAAAAATCACAATAGAGCAACATCCTGGTGAGCTTTCTGAGTTAAATTAATTATAAAACACTGCTTTCACGGATGAAAGTTTTGACTTCATAAATCAAAATGTCAAAGGTAGGCCAATTAAATATCAAGAGATTTCTTTCACTAAAAGTTGCTTTTGATTTTAGAATTTTGAGACATTGCCTCTGAAAATAGTTACAGTCTGTTAATGGTTTGCCTTTTAAGGAAATCCTTTCTACGCAATTACATAGTCATGTTATTGTCACTGAAAAATATCTTTCTATCTTCAGTGATATGAAGAAATATTAAGTCATTAATGTGTAAGTTGAAGAGAAAGGAAAAGAAAAAAAACGTTCTTGACTTTTGTATTGTTTGAAATTGTTATCCAAAATCCATGACACTCAAATGGTTTACGGTGCATCTTGAAGTATGGATTCGTAGTGACTTATACAGCTAATTGCATTACCCAGTACCAATGGACTTTTGTCCATATGAACGTAGGGAGTAGTAAAAAATACTAATAAATATACTATACTACAAATGAGCAGATTTATACCCAAAAATTTTACCTGGGTATTTAGTGTCTAATATAGAGTATATATAATTGTATTGATCATATGTTTAAAAATATAGTCATTTGTCTTGAATGGTATAAGTTCACTTCATTAATCCATATTCTCTTTTCTATATAGGACTAAAATCAGGATATAATTTTTAAGTCGCCTAATCACTTTATATATGTAGACTCTCCAGAAATATTCTACTATTATTTTACCAATGCCTTTGCATTCATCATATTGATGAAAAGTATGCTTTTGAAGGCATATGATCTGTCATAGCCTTGGAACTAAAATTTTCTATTTGTGGTCCCAGGAAAGTTATTTAAACTCACATTTCATAGTTTGTGAGCATTCAGATAATTATAATACCTACTGAGTGCATTTTGGTGGTTGAATTTTTATTATCTTTAAGTAGTTGTACAAAAAAGATGCCATTTAACAAAACAGTTTATGATTATAATGTATCTTAATCAATGTACTTGGTGAAGTTTTATTGGAATGTTATTTAAAAATTCATGGATCAGATTTATTGTGCAGCTTGTACCTAAAATGTGTTTGATCCACATGGGCTGATTACATAAATAAAGAAATAAAGCACTAACCAAAATTAACAGATTCCATTTTCTTCTTTAGTCTTGACATCTTTGATCAGAACTAACACTTCTTAATATAGTAAAAGGAATAAAAGCACAAAAGTTATCATGAATGTCCTTGTACAGTAGTAGAAAGTTTCTAAGGTCAAATTGTACATGAAGAATTCAATAGTCCTTTTTCAACTCAGGAATACATTTAATAGATGAAACTACTACAAGTTTCATATCCTTCAAAGACACGTTGGACATAATGGTTAAAAAAAAATGGATACTTTAATCAAAGCTACAAAGGCATACTTAGCCCCCAAGTCAGAATAGTTGCAAGATAGTGAAAGAAAATGCTTAAAACCTTTAAACTTGAAATATTGATTTTTTAAAAAGTTGAATGTTTGCTTTCCAAGGACAATGGTGATATGACTCAAATTAGTAAATATTTATTGAATATATTTTTCCATTAATGAAGTGTTTATCAATGTCTACTGTCTGCAATATATAATTTATTTATTTGAATCACCTATCATCCTGTAGAATGTGTTTAAAAATTTTTTTATTGTGAAAATACCGTACAGAGGGGGTACAATTACATGAGCAAGGTAACGAGTACATTTCTTTTTTTTTTTTTTTTTTATGATTTCCCTTCCCTTCCCCAAATCAGATAAACTTATCTACAAAACAAAGGGTACATAAATCAAAAACAGTGTCAACAGGAATAAATCTAAGGGGGGGAAAGAAAAATGAAATTACTGCAAACAGTACACAAAACAAAAACCTCTTGATTACATTTCTGGGAGTTCATTTCCATAAGCATAATTATATATTATTATATGCACATAGCTAGTTATTGAACCATTGTGATCCTCTGCTAAGAATATCACAGACATATTCTAGCTATTACAAATAAGGGAAATCATGCAGTCTATGTTTCTTTGGGTCTGGCTTACTTTGCTTAATATAATTGTTTCCACTCTTTCCATTTCCTTACAAAAGGGACTATGTCATTTTTTCTGATGCAAGCATCTCATGTGTATACGAGTACATTTCTTATCAAGCATTGTTGCCTCCTCCTTTGTTTCCCCTTCCCACCCCTCCCCATCTCCCACTCACCCCCACCCCTCACCCGCACCCAGGCCAAAGTTGTAAAGTTTGTTTTTCAACATAACAACTTGTAAATCTCATTGTTGCAATGGGTCCACCTGTATCCCTATTTAAACGATTTTTCCCTTCCCCTCCACACATTGTACCAACATCAAATACAGTGAAAGCAGGGGTTATACTGTGGGGGAGAGACATACAAACAACAAAAAAAATCTTATAAATATGTTAGAAACAATCGCAAGAAAGAAAAAACATTAGAATACTTATCTTGGGGTTCATTTCACCTAACATCAACTTATCTGACCTTTTCTGCTTGTTTTAAAATCCTTTAATAGAGAGATACCCATAGTACCAGAAATTTTTAGAATGTGGTATCCTGAATACTTCTACATACTTCAGTCTCTAAGCTTGTCATAGCTCTTATTATTACTCTGCTGGATTAGACAACCATTCAAATGAGTAGGAAAGGAATTCCTCTTTTGAGTAAATACTTATAATTACAAAGTAATCCTACATATTACT